GTCTCATGATTGGAGGGACTTGGTCTTTATTGTGGTTGATTTAATAGTGCCCAATATAGTGCTTGGTAAAGAAGGCAACCTCAATCAAGAAAAATGGAAGAAAGGAAGGGAAGGAGGGAGGAATTCAACCAAGCTGGATCTTTCCTGTACTTACAGGAAACCTTCTTTCCTGTGCTCACAGACTTACAGAAAATTTTCAAAGCTCATGTGGCAACCAACAAGATTGCACCACTGTCAACAGAGGCAGAAGGGTGAAGGGACCAGACTTTGACCTGTGGGCTGGGTAAAGCAAGTGAATTTCATCCAAAGTAAAGTGGAACACCATCGAGGGTTCTGGACCAAGGAGTGATGTGGTCCACTTATATGTTAAGAAGTTCTGTGTTGAGTGGAGGGGTTGGGCAAGACAGAAGTTTTGGGGTTCTGTTAGGAGACTAAAATGAGAATCCAGAGGGAGTGCTAAAAGTGTTAGGGGGAAAAGGGTGTCCTAAAGCTTATTCCATAAAGGCTTTGTGGACTCCACCCCCACCCCAGGCCAAAGCCAAAGACACTGGGAACTCCAAATCCCATCACCACCAAAGGGAAGGTGGCTGGGACCTGAGGGTGGGGTTAAGCAGCCAGGTTGGTATAAAGCCAGACACATGGGCTTTGGAGGGGTCCCCCATTTTGGCTCTCCGCCAGCTCGCAGCATCCGGCCAGCTCTGAGAGTGACTTTTGGTTTCCAGGTCGGTGGATCAGGTAGGACAATTAAAAACTTTATTTCCCTGTTTTCTCCCTGAGTTGTACATTTTCCATATTTCCTTTTCCCTTGTAAATAAACCTTTTATTAACCTTTTGTGTGTGCCTGTAGTGGAGTATTAATAAGTCCCTTGTAAGCACACGGGTGAGGACCCACAGCCAGGAACCCGTTCAATATCGGGGCTGCCCTATAACAAAAGGACCTGGAAATTTTAATGATGGTGATTGTATTTTGCAGCTCCAAGGCAGCTCTGTGCTTGGATCAGTGTGCTTTATAGACACTGATGATGAATTTAACCTCATAACACTCCTGTGAAATCAGTTTTACTTACTTCCTCCACTTACAGATTGGGAAACTAAGGCACAGAGAAGTTCAATAACTTGCAGACCTGACATGTGCCTTAGTGGGTTGGCGTGTGGGTGGTGGGGAGAGAAAGGAATCAGAGAGCCCTGCAGTGAGGACCTGGACACTGGGGTAGGTGATGCTGGAGAAGGCCTGGGTTCATCCTGTCTGTGCCAGACATAGGGCAGCCACTTAGAAGAACCCGCCTGGCCACCAGTGTGGCATTAAGAGAGCCCCTGAACCCCATATCCTAGTTAGGTCTACGCAGACCAGGGTTTCCTCTATGTGTCATGGGGAAACCTCACTGAAATATCCAGGGATTTTGATCTTCCCTTTCTGACCTTCCAGGGATATTGTCTCTGCCTTGAGGTCATTACTGATTGCTTCTTTGGCCCAATGATTCCCCTTCATATCTGGGCAAAACCAGAATTTTTTTAAAAGATCCCTAAAATGTTGATCCTTGAAGTCATTTCAATCGTGACTGTTATTTCTCTTTCCATGTCATTTGTGAGATTATCCCAACATGGTAGGCCATGGAGTAGCAGAGAGCAGAAAATGACTAGAGAAATGCTAGGGGAGAAGGGAGGGATTAGAATTGACACCAAAGAGCAGAGGAGCTTTGGGGTTTGCTTCATGTGCCCCTCTTCCACCCTCACCTACCAGGGTAACCATACTGGGTAACCACATTGAAAGGAAGATATGGCACCTCGAAGAAATACTTATAGAAAAGAACTCCAGGGTTTCACCCCTACAGCCTTGTAACTCTGCCCCAAGTTAACCCTGAAACAAGAAAACAAGCTTAGTGGAGCATTTATTACAAGGTTTCATAATCTCCTATTTGACAGCTGGTGGTACAGAGTGTGGAGTCTACTGGATATGATTATTTAACAGATGGTTCTGTTTTCAAATTTACTCCAAATGTTCAGATGCTTTTTCACTAAATTCCTATTTCCCATCTGATACTACCCCCAGGGGTTGAGCTTTAATCTGAGTTGTAGTTTGTAAATTCTTTTTTTTTTTTCTTTTAATCTCCTAATAGAAAGAGAATTCCCAAACAGCAGAGGCATCCACAGGGACCAGACAATGACAGTGCATGAAGACAGGAGGATTGTTCTCTGAGGCAAGTCTTGCCTCAAACAAACTTCTTGCCAGAGGTGGACCTCGGTATGCCCTATTTGGAGTAGCCTCAAAACCCAGCTCAAATGACCTTGAGATTTGAACAGTGTGTTCCTTTCCTCGGGCAGCATATGTTAGCACATCAAAATTCTTAGTAGCAAATTAAAACTTCTTTGGCAGAGAAGAAAGGCTCTAAGTAACTGTGTTACTGGCCCATTATGTGTCTCTAATTGTGTCACCTCGCTCTGCAGTGGGCTGGTCCGTTCATTATTGCTAGGTCCTTTCCTGCTGTTGTACATTAATGGTCTCCTTATTCTTTCTCTCTACTCCAGCTGCCCACAGCTGTCAGCCACCCACTCCAGCTTTGCCTTTCTAGTGTTTTCATGTTCCTGCCAGCATTAAGACATTTTATTTATTACCAAAAAATGGTCTCTGAGCCTCCTTTTCTTAACAAATTTCTGGTTTCTTTCAGCATTTAGAGCTCTCCTGGGCTCTCCAGCACCTGCTCCTGGAGATGCCCTGGTCTGATGTTACCTTTTTTTGGCCCAAGTGTGTGTTTCTCATGGACATGGGAAGAGAAGAAAGTCTGTGGAAGGGCTGATGTGCTCTGGAGGTGGGCTGGTGCGTGGGCTGGTGCTGGGGGCAGAGGGTGCCAGCTTGCAGATCTATTGTAATTTTCAGTCATTGTGTGACACATGTTGAGGGGAACACCACTCATGTAGAAAATCAGGCAGATGGTGACGTCTGCTGCTATAAGATCATCAAACGGTGCCTCTGGAGTTGTTTGCACAAAGCCACACACTTCCACCAATGAGCTGTGAGACCTCGGATCTTCCAGGTCATACGTCTGGAGTTCCATTTCTCATCTGATGAGGAAGCTTTGCGTGAAAGGGCTGTTCTATCATCTCTACTGCTGTTTCCAAGGTAGTTGTAAGGAATAGACTCCCTTGTCCACTGCGTGTGTACCTCTTCGATAAATATTGGGCAGGGTAAGCTACATAATTTGTGGAGCCCAGCACAAAATGAAAGTGAAGACAGAACCCCTTGATCATTGATAATTAAGTTTTAAGATGGTGCCTGAAGAACCTTGAAACAAACATGGGGTGTGGGGCTTGCATAACTGCATGGGCCACACACTCATAAAGCTGACCCTGAGCCTGCAGCCAGGGGCCCTGAATGGTCTTCTGGGTAAAGACATGCTCCCTTGAGAAGGCGTGGATTTCCTCAGGAAGAAACGATGGTTTCCTGAGTCAAGAAAGTGAGTGATAGTGATGTTGGCACCAGATAACGTGAAGAGTCCCTTCATGGTCGCCAAAATGATGGAGTTTTGTAGAGTGTGGGGTCCTTGGGGTCACTCTGGGAAAGGTTTTGTTATAGAGCAGCCCCGATATTGAACGGGTTCCTGGCTGTGGGTCCTCACCCGCGCGCTTAAAAGGGACTTATTAATACCCCACTACAGGCATACACAAAAGGTTCATAAAAGGTTTATTTACAAGGGAAAAGGAAATAAGGAAAATGTACAACTCAGGGAGAAAATAGGGAAATAAAGTCTTTAATGCGTCCTACCCGATCCGCCGACCTGGAAACCCAAAAAGCACTCTCAGAGCTGGCCGGACGCTGCGAGCTGGCGGAGAGCCAAAATGGGGGAACCCTCCAAAGCCCACGTGTCTGGCTTTATACCAACCTGGCTGCTTAACCCCACCCTCAGGTCCCAGCCACCTTCCCTTTGGTGGTGATGGGATTTGGAGTTCCCAGTGTCTTTGGCTTTGGCCTGGGGTGGGGGTGGAGTCCACAAAGCCTGTATGGAATTAGCGTTAGGACAGCCTTTTCCCCCTAACAGTTTCACCAGATCTCCTGTTTCAGCGGCACGCGGCAAGTTCCCCAGGCGAGTTTCTCCATGAGACAGAGATTTAGTCATATTTAAAGAACAGGTTTATTAGGGAAAGGGAGAGGGACAGGTTTTGTTTAAGAGAGGCCTGCATGGTTGCAGACGGGCAGCCTTGAGGAGGGCAGCCTTGAGGAGAGCGGCCTCCCCTGAGGGAGGTTATGTTAGGGGGAAAGGATGTCCTGAGATAATCTCATACAGGCTTTGTGGACTTCACCCCCACTCCAGACTAAAGCCATCAGGACATTGGGAAAGACAAATCCCATCACCACCAAGGGGAGGGTGGCTGGGACCTGAGGGTGGAGTTGGGCAGCCAGGTTGGATATAAAAACCAAAGACGTGGGCCTTGCTCGGTCTTTGGCTCGCGATCGCTCGCCTCCTGGCTTCACCGCTCCTGGCTGGCGGCCAGCTCTCAGAGCGCCATTTTGGGATTCCTGATCGGCGGATCGGGTAGGACTCATTTAAAACTTTGTCTCCCACTTTTCTCCCAGAGCTGTACATTTCCTCATTTCCCCTTCCCTTGTAAATAAACCTTTTATTAACCTTTCACGTGTGCCTGCAGTAGAGCATGATAAGTCCTTTTAAGCGCGCGGGTGAGGACCCACAGTCAGGCACCCCGTTTTGTATCGGGGTTGCTCTACAACAGTTGGCGCCCAGCGTGGTTTCCAAGTTACACGCGGTTGACCAGCCCAAAGTAACATGCGTTGGTCACCATAAGCGCACTAGTTCAATCTCTTCATCACCATAGAAATGGTGGCAAAAAGTGAGGGGGGATGTTAGGGGGAAAGGATGTCCTGAGATAATCTCATACAGGCTTTGTGGACTCCACCCCCACTCCAGACTAAAGCCATCAGGACATTGGGAAAGACAAATCCCATCACCACCAAGGGGAGGGTGGCTGGGACCTGAGGGTGGAGTTGGGCAGCCAGGTTGGATATAAAAACCAAACACGTGGGCCTTGCTCTCTCTCTGGCTCGCGATTGCTCGCCTCCTGGCTTCACCGCTCCTGGCTGGCGGCCAGCTCTCAGAGCGCCATTTTGGGATTCCTGATCGGCGGATCGGGTAGGACTCATTTAAAACTTTGTCTCCCACTTTTCTCCCAGAGCTGTACATTTCCTCATTTCCCTTTCCCTTGTAAATAAACCTTTTATTAACCTTTCACGTGTGCCTGCAGTAGAGCATTGATAAGTCCTTTTAAGCGCGCGGGTGAGGACCCACAGTCAGGCACCCCGTTTTGTATCGGGGTTGCTCTACAACAGTTAGTGAAAAGAGGCACCCGCATAGTCACAGGTGGGCTGTGGGAGTGCTGCCCCAAGCCTGTGTGGAGACTGTACTGATACAGCCCTTTTCTCTTTGGGAGGGATCACTCCTCTGTGGAGTGGCCTGCTTGTTGCTGATGTTGGGTAACAGGCAAAACTAGAAAGGGATCAGAGATTCCAGGGTGGGCCCAATCTCCATATCCTTACCCTCGGGCCTGTGCTCCACTCCCCACAGCATCTGATCTTGCTTGGGTCTCATGCCTTGTGATAAGGCACTGGTGCCTGACCTCTACTGCTGGGTTAATGGTCATGTTATTCCCCTCAACCCCCACCTCCCTGTGTGAGTCAGGTTTTAGTCTTGGGACACCTCCTTTCCAGTCTTTCTATTCTTGTCCTCCATCATTTGGGCTTCTCGAAAGTCAGCTATCAGACAGAAAGTGGGTCCTATCCGCTGCATCCTCCTGGAATCTCTGGGGTCTGCTTGTGCTGCTCAGTGGCGGTGGTTCCCGCTGGATGACCTCACTATATAGGCAGGTCTGAAGCTTGGGTAGGATGAAATCTCCAAACAGAAGGCAGGTAACGTTTGTAAAGTAAGTGCTCTAATTTTCTAGGATTCTCCCCATCTGTTTCTATAGGAAGACAGAGGAAATGTTCTTCAGCAGAATTTCTCTTAGAAATACACTCTACCTTTGTGGAAGAAGTTCTGATAAATTTCCGGGGTGGAGGGTGAGCTCCTGAGGGTATGTTTAAACAGCAGGAGATAGCTGAGCTGCTTTGCATAAGACAAGGGAAGGAATGTGTGCTGCTTCTGAGGGAAGGAGGGGTTGAGAGTTCACAAGAAGGAAGGGGAGATGAGAAATGAGCAGAGGACACTGGGCATCAAGGGCAAAGGCAAGAAGAAGGGATGTCTGGCAAACAAAGTGGGAAGGGACTTGGGGATAACAAGTGTTCAAGAAGCGAATTTTGACTCATGGGATGTTTGTGAAATAAACGCTCACAGCCCCTGGGCTCCTACAGAGAATCGTAAGTAGTCTAAGGTGTCCAGTGCTCTTGGGGCACATAAGTGGGTTTCTAAGCCTGGTCTGAGTCCATGTAAAGGCAGAAGCAATGTGTGTGGACAGGACTCCCAGACAGGAGCCTGAGGCTGTGGGATCCTGGCACCAGGCCCCAGTAATTGGTGTGGGGGCTTAGCAGGTAGTTTAAAGGCATTTCTTCTAAACAAAGGAATGGTAGGACTTCAGCTTACATCTGCATTTTCTTTCCTTTTGTTATTCCTGAGCCTTTAGAAAAGTCTTGTTTAAACATTCCAGCTTGGTCTCAAGCTGCAGTTCAGGCCAAAAATGGAAGGTTCATGTACCCCCACTTGGATTGTTACGGAGCAGCCCCGATATAAAACGGGCTGCCTGGCTGTGGGTCCTCACCCGCGCGCTTAAAAGGGACTTATGAATACTCCACTACAGGCACACACAAATGGTTAATAAAAGGTTTATTTACAAGGGAAAAGGAAATAAGGAAAATGTACAACTCAGGGAGAAAATAGGGAAATAAAGTCTTTAATGTGTCCTACCCGATCCCCCGACCTGGAAACCCAAAGGCACTCTCAGAGCTGGCCGGAGGCTACGAGCTGGTGGAGAGCCGAAATGGGGATCCCCCAAAGCCCATGTGTCTGGTTTTATACCAAACCTGGATGCTTAACCCCACCCTCAGGTCCCAGCCACCTTCCCTTTGCTGGTGATAGGATTTGTCTCTCCCAATGTCTTTTGGCTTTGGCCTGGGGTGGGGGTGGAGTCCACAAAGCCTGATGGAATTAGCTTTAGGACAGCATTTTCCCCCTAACAGCAGCACAATGGACTATGGTGGAGGGTGATGGAGGCCTTGGTGGTGGATGGGCTACAGTGACTATCTAAAAGCCTCTTTTCAGGATAGTCCTATACTTCCCAAATGCCAACAACAATGTAAACTAATGATATTGTGATGGAAAAGAAAAACTAAAAGCTGTTTAAGATTCTTTGTCCCCTCTGTTGTATATTCATCCACCACACATATTTGCAATTTGGGAACCAGGTAAAGGCTCTATTCCTGGGCAGATGTGTTATGAGCATTATGCTATTCCACAAATATTAAATTCTATCATGATACATGCATGTGGATACTTCCTCTTAAAATAGAAATACTGTTATAGATCCCACAGCATTAACATTTCCAAAAGTTGATAAATGAGTAAAAATGCAATTTAGTCATTAAACTTTTAAAAATTCCGCTCATGCTTCGCATCTTCCCAGTTACATTCTCAGAACTCATTTTCATGTCTTTAATGTGGGCCTTATTGATGGCTTCTCCGGACTGTGAACATCATCATTCAAGGGGAACCATGGGTGTAGGGAAAAGTATCTTCCCTACTATTGTCATTCCTTTAGAATGCTGTTTCAGCCAAGTTCTTGGGCTGCAGGGAACAGAAACTCACAGTTCAAATAGGAGATATTTTATGCTCCTTCAAGGACAGGACATAGTGGAATCTGCTTATCTGACACTGGAATTGGAGTCTCACAAACCAAGACCTCTAGTTCTTCTTGGGTAGGCTGAGAAGAACTACTTCTCAAATTTCCACTTGCTTCATCCAATTTTTGCTCTCAAATTCCTTTTTCTAGATAACACCATTTCTGTGATGGTTCATGACTACAACATTTTAAGTCTAAGTTCTCAGTGTGATGGGTACTGAAGAAACCACGTGTGATGTAGTGACAGTGACAGTGTTCAGATTTGCTTGTGGTGGTGTTACGTGGAGGTGGGGGTGGTGGATTGGAGCCCTGCACCCCAGAGGTAGCAGAGCTTTATCAGTTCCTGAGGAAGACAGAGCCCAAATGCCATCTGGCTGAGGCTGAGGACACAGAAATCGGAGAGGAGAGAATTTTTTGAGTTTGTGTTTTAACTTCTTGTACTTTGAGTTTTTAAAAAGGACTTCTTTTGAGGTTTAACATTTGGGCTTTCATTTCACTGGGAATTGAATAATTAGAGGGAGTTTCTGTTATGTAACTTTGGAATAGTCTTCATTGTATTAGTTGGGTTCATTGTAGAATGTCTGGCAAGCTCTGCTGGACCATGTGGCCGAGGGTGATGTGAGATGGGAAATAGAATAGTGATTCTGAGGCCTAGGAGGAAAATGGTTTTGGCGGTAAGAGATGCTCTTTTCAAACCCAGAGACCTTTGGGACAACAATTGAAAGGCTCATCCCAGAGTCCAGGAGAGCATATCATGGTGGCGGCAATCAGAAGTTCAGGTTGACCAGGTGTCCTGGTTTGCCTGGGGCCGAGCAGGTACCTGGGATATGGGACTCTCAGGGCTCATCGTGAACATACCGGGAAAATCAGGACAGCTGCTCACCTTCCTAGTGGAGGGATCAGTCAGCCCCTGAAACATGACTGGCTTCTTGCCTAGATGCTGGTGATGAAGAAGGGGGAGATAGCTTTCCTGGATGTCCACAGACCTGGCTTCCTTCCATGTGATAGTCTCAGGAGGCTGGACTTCTGCATGGTGACTGGGTTTTAGAAGGGGGAAAGCAGAGGCTGTCAGTTTTCCTAAGGTCTAGACTTGAGAGTTTAAAACGTGACCATATTCTTTTGGTCAAAGCAGAGGCAAAGGCAGCCTGAATTCAAGAAGCGAGGAAACAGACCCAACTCTTGGTAGATGGAGCAGCATCAGCATCGTGAGGGAAGAAACTGATGAGGGCAACATTGGATACGATCTACTACAAATATTATTTTAAATGGATGAGGCACATGGGAAAGGAAAATGTTGGTATTGTGAAGATAAGTTTTATGCCAGGCCTGTTTATCTGGAGGTAAGAAAGCTTCTATTCTCCAGAACTTATATTCTAGAAGGAGAGACAGACAGACAACTACATAAATGCCATTAGTGTAATGTAGAAATAAAACTTATACACATATATGTATATTTACAATAAGTGTGTGCAAATACAGAAGTATAACAGAAGTCAGAGATTTCTATTTGGACGTGGTAGAAAATAACTTGGCTTTGCAGACAGCATAGGGGATTTGAGTGATGAGTAAGAGTTTTCACGGGAGGTAAGAGAGGTAGATGTATACCAGACTCAGGGAAATCACGTGCAGAGTTTCAGGAATTGAGGAATGTGGTTTGTACTGTAAAAACTGGAATGTGAGTCTGTGTGGCACAAAAGCCATAGAAATGGAAATGAAGCAACAGCTTGGGGATGTGAGAGAAAGTACTTTGTCTGCCATTTTAAGAATTGATTTATTTTAAAGTGAGAGAGTGACTTAATGAAACTAATTTTATTTTTGAAAGTTTACTCTAGCAGTAGTAGATAACAGTAACTCCACTACTCTGCTACTACTATGACAAGTACTACTGCTACAAACTAATAATGGATATTTGCATGAATGAATTCTGTGCCAGGCACAATTGTAAGCACTTTAAAGTCATTCAGTATCACAAGAACCCTAAAAGTAGGTTATTATTAATATTCCCCCTTTATGGTTGAGGAAACTGAGCTACATAGAAGAAAAATCACTTCCTCCATATCATGCAGTCGGTAAATGTTGAAGCATAAATTTGAACAGAGGAACTCTGGCCCCTTAACTATTATGCTTTATTACCATCTACTTTATTACCAGCCACTAAAGTAATTCAGCTAAGTGTTGTCATATCCCTAGAAAAGGGAGCAATTGTGGAAAGCTGTGACCAGGTGAATCCCAATGCTGTTAAGGGAATACAGATAATAGGTTGTTTTTTTTTTTTTTTAAGATTTATTTTTTTTATACAAGAACCAGGGTACAGACCAGATGCGCAGGAGGATGAAAGGATTCACCAGAGACAGAGTGGGAAACAGAACAGGCAGACTGACAATACACTGCTGAGGGGAGCAGAGGGTGAGACAGGAGAGGTCTGCTCGACATGTGGCTTGCTCCACTGGCGGGGATCGAACTGGCACTGCAGAGGCTGTGGACAGCTTCACAGCTCTGTGCTCAATCGCTTGCGCCACCAGGGAGGCCCCAGATAATAGGTTTCAGTGTACAACTGAATATGGAGAAGAAAGAAAGAAAATTGATAATGACTTCCTCATTTCTATTTGAATGGGGGTGCCACTATCAAAAATAAGAAATAGGAGAAGATAGTTTGGTTTGGAGGAAAAGACAAGGATTTCAATATTGATACTGAGTTTAAAGTGCCCATTGAACAACTAAGCAGAGGTGTGTGGGAGACAGATGGAAATGGGGTACCCAAAGGAGAAGGGCTTTTGTCCCAAGGAGAGAGAGTGCTTCCCAGGCCAAATACATTAGGAAGGTCAAGCAAGGTGAGGCATGTGGCGCTACCACTGGATCTGTAAACACAGAGGTCAACGTGACCTTGAGGAGAACAGAGTGAGTGGAGAGGTGGCTGAAAGCCAGATTGCTGTGGGTGAGAAAAGAAGGAAGTGAAATCAGCAAGGGGTGACCTAAATTTCCAAGAACTTGCCTGGGGAGGGACTGGGAGGTGGGGAGCAGGGATCACATAGCATGGAGGGTAGAGAGGAGGCATTTTGTTGCCATTTGCTTGCTTGTTTGTTTGTTTTTTCTAAAGAATGGGTTTATTTTCTGAAATGAGGAAATCAGAGGAGAGTGGGAGGCTCGTGATTTAGGAGAAAAAGATGGGACTGATGACTGTAAGTGCCTGAATAGGCCAAAGGCTGGGGTCAAAGGACAAATGGAAGAATTGGTTTCAGAGGACATTTTTCCTTTTAAATCGGAGGGAAGAGAATAAGCATTTTTGGAGAAATAAGTGTATTTGTAGTTGAGGGGTAGGGTAGGAAATTGAAAATTTTCAGGATAATCTCTTAAGTATTAGCACAAATCATTTGCCCAAGAAGTAAAAGAGAACTAGAAATCTAAATCAGCTAGTGGAGGCTGGAACAGCACTTTCGTAAACAGGATGATGGGAGGAAAATCACATTCATGGAGATTTCATTATGTGTGCTTGATCTCTATCCTTAATAAAAATGGTTATACAACAAACAATAAATTATAGCTGGGGTTTGATCCCTTCTGAAATTTAGGTATTCCCTAAAAATTTTATTGAGAGATTGCATTTTGCTTTCTGTAGCCCAGTTTGCATGTCGGTCCATCCTTTCAATGAATTAATGATTGTTCATCAGTATCTACTGTGTAAAATTCCAATGCTAGAAGCATCTCAAGGAGTATAAGACAGTTCTTGCTCTTGATGGACTTCCAGGTTAAGTGCTGAGAGGAGTTGTATTAGATGTGTTAGTTAATGGGCCTCCCTGATGGCCTTGGGGTTAAGTCTCAGTGCTGTCACTGCCATGGTCTGAGTTTGATCCCTGGCCAGGGAGCCACCCACATATGATACAGCAGACCTCTCCTGTCTTGCCTGCTGCTCCTCTCAGCAGTGTATTTCAGTCAATCTGCATGTTGTGTTCCTCATTCTGTCTGTGGTAAAACCTCTCACCCCCTGCACCTCTGGCCTACACCCCAGTTCTTCTATGCAAAAAAAAACAAAACAAAACAAAACAGTGTTAGTATCTATCTTTCCCAGTGTTTCAGCCACCTTGAGGACAATCAGCATTTGGAAAAGAATCCCAGAGGACGAGTCCAGTTCCACTGGAGTGGTGCCAGGTCTAAGATGTCCCATCAGGACCACACTATTGCCTGCAGTACTGCTCCTAACCCTTACACCATCAATCCTCAGGGCGGTCCCCAACTCAGATCATCCCCCTCACTCCCTGACTCTGGCAGCTGTCATTCTATTTTCCATTGCTATATATTTGACATTTCTAAATACTTCATTTAAACAGAATCATGCAATATTTATCTTTTTGTGATTGGTTTATTTCACTCAGCATGATGTCCTCAAATTTCAAGCATGGTTGTCACATGTTTGAAAATCTCCTTCCTTTTTAAAGGTAAATAATATTCCATTATGTATATATACCACAATGTGGTATATATATTCCATTATGTATGTATACCACATATCCACTATGTGTCAGTGGACACCTTGATTGCTTCTACCTCTTGGCTGTTGTGAGCAATGTTGCTATGAATATGGATATACAATGTCTGTTCCAGAACTTGCTTTCAGAATTTTTGGGTGTATACTTATAATCTAAGTTTTTACAACCCTACAGGTGATTCTACTGCTCACTCAAATTTGAAAACCACTTCTACAGACCATGACTGCTTTTCCCTGTCCTAATTCTACTTTACCATTAGCACCTTCTTCCTGTTTTTGATACCAGTACTTAGCATACATATGGAATAAATGTTTCTTGTAATCCCTGCACTTGGTTTAGGGAATGTGTGGATGTGTATGTAGGTGTTGAAGAGGGGCACACAAAGAGGAAGACCAGAAAGGAGAGGAGCATAAAACTTCTGTATTCTCCCATCTCTGTTAGTGGGAAGGACACTGGGCTGAGAGCAGGTAGGGAACTCTGGATCAGAAGACACATAAACTACTAGAACTGAAAGTGATTTTGGCAACTCCTAAGATCCATGGTTTATAATTTTTTTGGAGTCATAGATCTTTTTGAGAACAATATGTTTAGTAATACACATTGTTTTATTACATGATTATTAGTGGGAGTGTTGGGATTCAAATTGTTTCTTGCAATCACTGCACTGCACTTGGTCTAGGGGGTGTGTGTATGTGTGTGTAGGTGCTGAAGAAGGGGACACAAGGAAGACCAGAAAGGAGAGGAGTATCTTTACATTCTTAAAACACTAAATTATGGTGCTGAATCTATAAGGAATGATTGAGAGCCCTCACCATTCTCCCTCCTCGGGACAGTGGTCTACTCAGCTTCTTAGGTGAATTCATCACCCTTTATTGTCCATACAGTGACTTTGCAAGAAGAAAATCATTAAACACCCAGTATACCAAATACTGGGGATTCTCATCTATAAAGCAAGTGGGTCTGAATCTGCTCAGGGACACCATGCTACATTGGCCCTGCTGAAGGAAGACACTTTCTGGAAAAATCAGTTGATTTATCCCACTTTTGGCAGCCTTCCTTTCTCACCAGGCCCACTGCTGTTGGGTCAGCAGAGTTGCCAGGCTGCTATGAGCTCTTTCTGTATCTGTGCCATGGAGGTAATAGATGAAGCTGGAGGCTGAGGCAGCACCCAGGGCCCACATGCTGATGCTGTGAAGATACTTGGAAAGGTGGCTGCTGGGGGCCTGGCTGCCTTTCCAGGGCTTTCAGCTCTGTTGGGCTGGAAATATATTCAGGGCAAAGGGCTTGAGGTTTTTTTTTCCCTTGTGGTATTTGGCTATGTTGAGTTCAAATCCTAGCTCAGCCTTGGCAGGGCTGAGGACTGTATAGTGAAAAATAGTGGAATGAAACCTCAGAGCACGTTATGACCTTCAAGAAGGTTTGGTTTGGATTGACTTCTAGAAATGGTCTGAGTTTTTTGGTTGCCGACTTTTTTTTTTCATTTTTCCAGAATACATTTTGAACCTCTTCAGAGAGCTGTTCATGGCCTACAAGAGGCATCTGAGCCCCAAGTGGGCATTAATTACTGGGCATAAAAGAAGGATACTATTAGCAGTTATCATTAAACAAATTTCACTCACCAGGAACTGGGCTAAAGAGCTTTACAAACACCATCGCACATCATTTTTCATAAGATTCCACTAAGGAATGTATTGATAGCTCTTTAGATTTTTATGAAACCAAGGCTCAAAGTATTTAATGTTTTATCAGTGTTCTCAAGACAGTGGCAGTGTGGGGTCTGAATGACAGGGAATTGGACTTCAGGGTGCGGGGTCTGAACCACTGCTTTGTAACCCCCTGTCTCCATTCTTTCCCTTTTTTCTTCTTTCCCAATTTCTATTGAATTTCTCCCCACTATAGTCAACCTACTTTACTGTGTTCTCTAGATTAGAAGAAGCAGCAGACACTTCAACTAATGTCAATTGAAGAGACCCCGAAAAGATGAGAAGGAAAGACTGGACCTGTGTTGGTGAGCCTGTTCTTCAAGGGGTAGGTCCTTAAACTTAGTCTTGCTTTAAGAATACATCCTCTTCTGCCTGTTCTACCCCTGCTCTGTCTCTGGTGAATCCTCTCACCATCCCGCACATCTGGCCTGTACCTCGGTTCTTATATAAATAATAAAAAAAAGAATATATCCTCTTTCCTTTGACTTCCAAATGTGCTGCTGAAAAATTTCTCAATCTGAGGTCCTAATTAATAGAGAAGGGAAGAGAGTGAGGATATATATTATGAATTGTTCGTGAGTTCTTGTTTGTGATTTCTCTATCTTTAGGTTAGGACAATGTGGGGCTGAAATTGATTTAGTTCATTTAGGGATGCTGGCATAATCCGAGCCAGACCGATTGGAGATCTCCATTGGTCTATCATTAGAATTATCAGTAAAGATGCTTCCTCCTTCTCCTAGAACAGGCTCTGTAAGGACACAGTAGACTCACAACAGCCAGAAACCAGGTTATAGCCATGTGAAGAGTGGACATATGAACATGAAGCTGAAGAGGTGCCTGGTGCTAAGAGGGAGAAAAAGAAAATTCTTTAAGAAAAGGATAATTCTCAGCCTTACAGTGGGATCACAAACTCAAAAGCTTATTGGCACCAGATAATGTAAATGAAGGAAAATGGTGAGGCTCACACAATTACAGAGGTTATAGGGAATTGTGGGGTCTGTGGCAAACTGAAAAGTATATGTGCTTCATCTAATAGGACATTATTCAATGCTTTTTAGCTATTTTCTGTGGAACTGTGTGTCAGGAGTTTTCATACTGCTTTCTTCTTTTCAAGAAAAGCTGAAAGTCTGGATTTTTTAGAAGTGAGATCTACTGATTTTTACAATATTCAATTCATTCAGACTAAAAGCAATGACAATAGCAGGAAATATTGTGGTGGAGCAAAGCACATACCTCTGTAAATCAAACATATCCTGCCTCAAGGCTGTCTCTTTGGAAATGATGGCTTATCTCTCAGGACCTTTTCTTCTTGGGCTTTTGCATGGAAAGCTGCTCCTTTGCTGGCTTTCATGAGAATCCAATAATCTCACCGAGCACGTAGTGTGAGGCAAGAGATTTAGCTGGGAAGCTGAGGGTCACAGAAAAGTCACGTTGCACTTTGTGTTCTCTTATCCCCTCTCACCTGCTCTCCTTCTTCTCTTCTTCACTGTCTTAAGAGCAGCTAAATTCTCTTTGTCTTACATGAACTTACTAAGGCCCCCATTTGAAGTTTTGTCACTGGCTGACATGTATACGCCCTGGGACTCACGTATACCAGGATACCTTCTCAAGCTATTTTTCACGGTTCTTCCTGTGAAGGAACTTTCTGAACAGCTGCTCAGAGGTAGAAAAGATCCTCCATCTCATGAGAAATGGTTGTGCCAATCAGCAAGGATGGTGCGGTTCAGCAATGTGCCAAAGGATGCAGTCCTCATGCTGAATGTCATACATGCGGGGGACTTCTGTTTCCTAGAACACTTGCTATTCTGTGGCCATCCACAGTAGCCCACAGACCACGGGCTCAAACTATAGCAGTGCTTTGCCAAATCTCTGTGTGTACTGGGGTTGTCTAAAAGATTGGCACAGATCAATACAGCAGACCTAGGGGAGTCAGGAGGGGGTTAACATCAGAGATGGTAGGCTACTGAGATTGTAAACACAAGCTTAGAATCCCAAGTCTGCCATTGGTAAGTTGACTGAAATGATGTATTCTCTCTCTCTCTCTCTCTCTCTCTCTCTCTCTCTTTAAAGATTTATTTATTTATGCATGCAAGCGCTGGGGTACAGGCCAGAGATGCAGTAGTGGGGTGAGAGGATTCACCAGGGACAAAATGGGGAACAGAATAGGCAGACTGACCAAAATACACTGCTGAGGGGAGCAGCAGGCAAGGCAGGAGAGGTCTTGCTTCACGATGTGAGTTGCTCCCTGGCCGGCTGGGGATCAAACTCGTGCTGCAGAGGCTGTGGATGGACTCATAGTATGGTGCCCAATCCCTTGTGCCACCTGGGAGGCCCAAATAATGTATTATCTTTGACATTCATTTTCCTCCTTTATTAGTAGGAGAGCATAACACTGTTTCCTAAGATTGTTGAAAGAATTTCATAGAAAATCGTGTGTTAAACACTTGTACATTGTACAGACTGATAAATGCAAGTTTCCTTCCATCTTAATTCCTAATAATTCTGCAAGGTTCAGCATGGACATCCCCCTTTAGAATATACTCCCTGCACTTCTTTTCGGGTTAGTCTTGTCTGCACACTGGATTTTCTGGCATATCACTAACATCACCCTTATTGCATCATTTTGAAAAACGAGTTTTTATTCCAGATCTCTCTGAAATCTGGAAACCATTCCACATTTATCCTGTTTCTCTGACTCCCAGCACGGTGTTATATGACACATAGAAACGCAACAACTGTTTATTCACTAAGGGCTGACGTGAAGAGAAAATTGTCTTAGCGACCTAGATCAACTTGTAGTTTAGAAAAGTTTTATAAAATCTCAGTTTCTGAGTGTGGATGCTTTGGTGGTGGGTGTGGTGTGGGGCAGAGCCTGTACCTCTGAAACACAGACAACCTTGTAAACCAATGATACTTCAATTAAAAAACTAGATAAATACATAAATTTAAAAAACTCAAGATCTGAAAAATTTAAAGATATCAAGAAGATGACAGAGAAATATATAATGTTAATTACCCAACATCAGTGGTGCCTGTCAAGCTCTAGCATTTATGGGGGGCACTAATAAAGGCAAAGCATGGAGTTTAGCTTGGTGTCAACCTCAAAACTGGGTCAAGATCTCAGAAAGAGTTTTCAGTGGGAAGATGTCTCTTTCCTTTGTGTCTTTGAAGGGCAGCAATTAAAGACCCAGTGTACTTGAAAGTGTCTCCTTCAATCTGGAAAAGAAACTGAGCTTCCTAAACTGCTTTTGGAAAACCAAGGTTTGGAGGACATTTCTGACTTTCATCCTTCCTGCCTCAGCATTTGGAAGAGAAACAGGAAACAATTAACAATTAAAAGAAACCAACTAGATTAGCAATCAGTAGATTTGCTGAAAAGGGAGACAGAGAGGCTAATGATGCTAACATTTTAATTGTGTGAAGCCAAAAGAATTATGGAATTACCTAGAACTTTAGCTTTTCATCTTTTTTTTTATTTGATCTCTAGCCAAGTAACTCCTGTAGAATAATTTAATATTCTATGAGTTTTCAATAATAAGGCTTGCAATGTGATAGTTAAATGCACTTGAAATTTTGATGAGATCATTAATAATATCTCTTGTCAGTGACTTAACTCTAGTTAATAACTTCCTTGTGACTTTCGTCAAATAGATTTTCCTGGGGGATATTAATTTCCAAAGGTTTATGCATGTCCTTCAATTGTTAGCCAGTGACAGAAATAGCTTTTCTGCTGTGGTATATTTTGAGGTTTTGCCCTTACTTCTAAGAAAAAGGCGATAATTGTGCAAACCAACTACTCATCTGTGTTTGGCATCAAGCCTTAACCTAAAACCTGAAGTAATATTTCTAAAAAGAATAGTTTCATGTAATTTTCGTGATAACAGCATGCCAACACCAACTATTCTAAAATGGCAGCCTGTTATTTTATAAGTTATATAAGTCTAATAGGGGAGAAAAAATCCTCTTACCACCTCTCTTTGGTAAGCATTTCTTAGAATTTTCCTGACTAATACAGGATCACGTCAGTGCACTTTTTTCTCATTTTCTGCAACTCATGACAGTCCAAACCCAGTCCTGTCCCAAAACCGACCTGAGAGTCTTCAGAGCAAGCTGTACTGGTATCTGCTCTGTAGTGGGGAGGGAAGCTCAGGAAAGGGTCAACAGAGAAACTGTTCATCAAATTCTAGAAATGCCCAAGAGTGGGACACCCTTCAAAGTTGAAGGGAAACATTGGAGGGCAATAAACAAGAGAACTGTGTTATATGTTGAATAGTATTCACTCAGAATCTGTTCCTCCCCATAGAAACCTACAGCCTCAAGGCCAAGCACACTGCTTCACACAGAGTTGGGGTTCCATGCATGTTTGTTGAATGAATGAATGCAATAAAGAGGGCCGAACAGGATTTGGATAACTTATAGATGACTGCAATGTAACATTAGGAAGGGGGATTCCATTTCTTTAAGGTTATAGGCCCTCATTTCTTTCTCTTTTCTTCTTATTCTTCTAATTGTGGCATAACTGGAAGGAGAATCCTTGCTCCTGGAAGAGCTGGTGTTCTTACAGCACATAAACATATGCTCTTGAAATTTCCTCTTTAACAATATGACAGAGAAATTTCATGCTCATATATATGCTCTCTAAGGTCCTTTAACTCAAAAATATCTTTTTTTCTACTCACAGATGGAACAAAGAATTGGGTTCAGAGATGGTCCTTTTCTGAGCTTTCCATTTTTTGGGGAGGGGGTATAAGATACATTCAGGAATAGAGAGATAATGGTATAAATAAGTATATGCAAAAGTTCAAATAATTAACATGTCCATATATTGTAGCGCTGGAGATAAGACCTCTTTTTACCCCTTTAAGGAAGACCCTGGCCCTGGCTCTTGTTCCTCTCTTATTCCATCCCACTAATTTCATCCTTTCTCTGTCAACTTTAATATTTACATCTGTCTTGGAGATTTCTTGGCTCGGAAGACTGCTCAACCTTTCCAATTCTAAGCAAATAACCAAACCCCAACTATATCATGTAAAAAATATCTCTCTTCAGCTATTGGTCTATGCTTCTTTGTCTTATTTTATCCAAATTTCTAGAGTCACTGCTTCTACTTTCTCATCTGTCTTTCATTCCCCAATCTTCTCAGCCTTTACTACTCCTTGTTCCTAAAAATGTTCCCTTGAACTTCTATGATGCCCTCTCTCACTAGCTAAGATGGCTAACCTATTCTAGACACTTCTAGCCCTTGTCTCATTTGATGAGCCTTTCCTATTTTGTACCATCTCAGTGATAAAACTGTGATTTTTTTTTAAAGATTTATTTATTTAT